AAAAAAAAAAAAAAAAAAAAAAATTGAAAAAGAAAAAAGATGTTTGCAGCTTATGCAGAATTTTTTTTCTCTTTATTCTCTAAACAATACAGTATAACAACTATTTACATAGTGTTTATATTGTATTAGGTGTTATAAGTGATCTAGTTGTAAGTATGCAGGAGGATGTGTGCCGGTTATTTGCAAATACTACACCATTTTATATCAGGGACCGTGCATTCGTGGATTTTGATATCCACAGGGGTGCTAGAGCCAATCCCCCACAGCTACTGAGGGATGACTGTATATAAAAGTCATTGAAAGAGAAAGATACATAATAGGGATAGTTATGTTGATGGTAAATTAGTGGTTTGCACATTTGCCGGGAGGTAATCAGTTTTGCGTGTGTACTTTCTTCTATTTTACAGATCGCTTGACAATATCTTATTGTCGGAGTAGTGGTCCTGGGGGACAGAATGTGAACAAAGGTACGGGTGCCTCGTTGCTTTCTTTTGCTTTCAAATGTAGCTGGGAGATGGGCTTCAGGAGCCCTGAGTTTATGTTCATATGGAATGAAGGGAATTTTCAGCAGAAGCTTAAGTACTGCCAGTTTATAATAATCCTCTTTATTCTTTTGAATGTGGTCTGATTTTCAGACGTTCAGCTGTGGGTTGCTAGGACTAGGATTGGCTTGTGAGTCTAAACAAAGGGAAATCACAGTGTGAGGCAGCAGCCAGCTCCAAGAACAGCTTTCCTTCATTCTGGTGAAATCCATTCCCTCCATTTTTTTTTGTACCCAGTAAAACTGTAAGAGAAGCACTAGACACTTAGTTACTGGAAGTCTATATTTGTCCAGAAGTGCCTCACTGTCTTCGCAGGCTTGTTCATAGCCAACTTGGACGTCAGCTAGAATGTACATGGTTGGGTGTCTGGCCTCCCTTTGTTTCAGGATGGTCACTGGTCACACAGGGGTTGATCCTGCCCGGAAGTCTCAGGCACCCATACTGCCTTCTCCCTTTCATCCACAGTGAATTCCAAGGCGGAAGTCAGGTTCCACTTGGCAACTGCCGACTGGATCGCAGAGCCTGTGAGGCAGAAGATAGCCATCGTGGTAACCACCATCCCTTTCTTTCCCTAGAAACCCCTCAGTGGCTTTTAAACCTTTACTCTGTAGGACTCCGGTTTTTCCTTTGTTCTCTGCAGCACAAAAACAAGATCAACAGGTCAGGAGAGTTGATCCTCACCTCTGAGAGCAGCCGCTATCAGTTCCGGAATCTGGCCGATTGCCTGCAGAAAATTCGAGACATGATCGCTGAGGCCAGCCAGACACCCAAGGAGCCATCGAAAGAAGATGCTAAACTTCAGAGACTCAGGTACCGGCAAATGTCCTAAGCTGCTATAAACTGATTTGTGCGGACGATAGTCTACACAGATAAGGAAGGGGCAGAGGAAAGTCCAGGACGTGCCCTGGGAGAAGCTCTAGGAAGAGGAGGGGATGCTGACCTGGGACGCAGGCCCAGCTCTAGTGCCTGCTGGTAAACTGCTCGGCTTCCCGTTGAGCTTCCAACTCCTCTCACCACTTTGAAAAGCACTGATTGGGCATCTGGGCCTAATTGCAGTCTTTTTGTTTTCAGGATAGAAAGCATGAATCGGGAAAGGCTGAGACAAAAGAGAATTCATTCTGCCATAAAGACAAGCAGGAGGGTCGGCATGGACTGAAATCTCCCTCTGCAGCTGGAAGACGCTTCTGGGCTCCCGGCATCTGCAGCTGAGAGGCCTTTCACACCATAGGGGATTTCCTTTTCTCTTTTTGACTGTTAATGCTTGTCGATAACATTGGAGCCATCACAAGAATGTTCATTGGGAATGAAGGTTGCAGGCACTGGTTGCAAAGGTCTTTCTAGGCAGTCACCATGTTGTCCAACCTTAATAATGCATCTGATGTATTAGCCACAATAAAACTCAAAACTCATAGTGTTCCCTTCTCATTCAGAATGCTTCAGAAAGCAATTCCTACCTTCTCTCTCAGTTGAATTAGCCTCACAGTTGTTGACACAGCACCCAGGAACAGGAAAGCGTTCTGGTGTCTGCTGTGAAAGAACACACAGGCCAGGCGTGGTGGCTCACGCCTGTAATCTAAACACTTTGGAGGCCAATGCAGGAGTATCACACGAGGTCAGGAGTTTAAAATCAGCCTGAGCAACATAGCGAGACCTCGTCTCTACAAAAATTAGCCAGGTGTGGTGACACATGTCCATAGTCCCAACTACTCGGGAGGCTGAGGCAGGAGAATCACTTGAGCCCAGGAGTTCAAGGTTGCAGTGAAACATAATGGCACCACTGCACTTCACCCTGAGTGACAGAGCAAGACCATGTCTCAAAAAAAATAAATAACCCACTGGGCACAGTGGCTCACGCCTGTAATCCCAGCATTTTGGGAGGCTGAGGCAGGCAGATCACCTGAGGTCAGGAATTCAAGACCAGCCTCACCAACATGGTGAAACCCTGTCTCTACTAAAATACAAAAATTAGCTGGGTATGGTGGCAGGCACCTGTAATCTCAGCTACTCAGGGGCTGAGGCAGGAGAATCATTTGAACCCAGGACGCAGAGGTTACAGTGAACCGAGATCACGCCACTGCACTCCAGCCTGGGCAACAGAGCGAGACTTCCTCTCAAAAAAAACACAAAAACCACACACACAGCCAGGTAGGAGGGCTGAGACAGGCAAGTTGGCATTTGAGCTTGACTATGGAAAAGGTACAGGACTTTCATCAGTAGAGGGGAGGAGTACATGCCATTTGAAGGGGACGCTATGAACACAGGAGACAGAGAAGAGGCAGGGGTGGAGGAGGTGGCAAGGAAGTAGAGGTGCTGAATGGGGGATTCGTCCAGGGCAATTCTGGGAAGTGAGCCTGGAGAGAGGCCAGCTTGATGTGGAGAGGCTTGAATTCAAGTTAAGGAGTTTAGGTTTTTTGTTTTTGAACAGAGTCTCGCTCTGTGCCCCAGGCTGGCATGTAATATTGCTATCTCAGCTCGTTGCAACCTCCACCTCTTGGGTTCAAGCAATTCTCCCATCTCAGCCTCCTGAGTAGCTGGGCTTACAGGCGCCTGCCACTGCACCCGGCTAATTTTTGTATTTTGTAGAGACAGGGTTTCACCATGTTGGCCAGACTGGTCTTGAACTCCTGACCTTAGGTGATCTGCCCACCTCAGCCTCCCAAAGTGCTGGGAACACAGGTGTGAGCCACTGCGCCAGGCCAAGGCATTTAGGTTTTAAGAAACATGGGTAACAAAACCACCGCGTGTCTCAAATGAGAAGTACTGTGTGCCAGGTGCTGTTAGGCAGTGGGTTTTAGAGGCAGGAAGAATAAGTTGGAACTGGAAGGAGATTTTTACAATCCCCTCAGGCTAGCATTGTAGTAGTAGATTGCTCTAGCATGTATGAATTTCTTAAACTGTTCTATATGCTTTCGATCTAGTTTATGTGAGCACATGAGCCTAAACAAGGGGAAAAATCATTTATAAATGACTTACAAAATACAAACATTTGCTCACTTCCGCAGCACATATACTAAAATTAGAATGATACAGAGAAGATCAGCATGGCTCCTTTAACGTAAATTTAAAATGTGTAAGACGTGGTCCCTGTCCTCAAGGGACTCAGAGCCTGGGAGGGGGCCGAGGCTCACATGCAGGATGTACACTTACCAGTTCATTCCGTAATTCAGTAAGCGCTAAGTGAATACCAGGCACTCACAGCATGAGGTGGGGAGGACTCAGAAGAGAACAAAGTAAAAGTGCTTTCTTCCAGAGAATTGACATTCGATCGGGTGATAGTAAAAGCTGAGAGGAAAAGTGGATTCCTGTTCCAGTAGCAAGACCCGAAGCATGATGAATGACAAAAGAAAGGTCTCAGTAGATTGCAGGAGGCAGAGGAGTGACTAGTTCAGCTGGAGGGTGGGAGAGGATGTGCTTGAGATGGGCCTGAAGGGAGGGGAGGAACTAGCAGGGTAAGAGCATGTCACTTGGAGGTTCCAGTGGTGGCCAACGGCAAAGCCTAGGAAAATGGCAACTCCAAGGCCTGCCTGTGGCTGGACAGGAAACTTGTGATTGACAGAATGCGCCCTGAAGTGGACTGCATGGGTCAGTGCTCACCCGTCCACCTTCCCAGCTGCTACCTAATCTCTCTGAACCTTGTTTCCCCACCTATAAACTAGGGTTTTGTTTTTTTTTTTTTCCTGAGACATACTCTCACTACGTCACCCAGGCTGGAGTGCAATGGCACAATCTCAGCTCACTGCAACCTTCGCCTCCTGGGTTCAAGCAATTCTCCTGCCTCAGCCTCCTGAGTAGCTGGGATCTCACACCACCACACCCGGCTAATTTTTGTATTTTTAGTAGAGATGGGGTTTTGCCATGTTGGCCAGGCTGGTCTCAAACTCCTGACCTCAAGTGATCAGCCTGCCTTAGCCTCCCAAAGTGCTGGGATTACAGGCATGAGCCACTGAGCTCAGCCTAAACTAGGGGTTATGTTATTAGCACCTACCTCATAGGGTTATTGTGGGATTTCAGTGAATAACTACATGGTTAGTGGCACTGAGCTGGTACCCGGGGAATGTCTGCCACGATTTCTAGCCCAGTTTGGCTGGGACCCAGAGGACAAGGAGCTGTGAAAGATGAGTCTGCCAATTGACTGGGATCCAGGTCTAGAAAGGACTTAAAAGTGACAGCTAAGACATGTAGTCTTTTCCCTACAGAGGCTGAGGCAGGAAGGCTGTTCTGCCCATGGCAGAATGAAGAGAAGCTGTAGGAAGGTGTGCATGGATGGCAACTGACCCCATGTGAGCAGTCAGGGACACGCTCTGTAACTACAGCAGCAGCAGCAGGGGTGGGGAGGAAATACCGGATGCTGGAGGATTATGAGGACAGAAAATTGGCCTGGGTGGTGTGGGAGTGAGGGGCGTGACATGGGTGATGCTGTGCACTCACACAGGAACATCATGAAGGGGAGTGGGCTTGGGAGGACAGCTGGATCAGCGTGGTTTTGCCTGTGAGGAGGAGTGCCCAGTGGTGATACCCAGGAGAGGGAATGGAGTTATGGAGCTGGGAGTGAGGCTGGAGCTGGAAGATCTAAGACCCAGGGAGACAAGTGGACTCCTGGGGATGAACAGGAGCAGCTGAGAGAGGCAAAGCTGAGTGGGGGTGGGGGTGTGGGGGACGGACGCCTGGCTAGAGGGTGGTGGTGGGAAAGCAGAGAAGGCATCCCTGCAGGTTGACCATGGACCAGAGTGCTGGGTCCCAGCAATGGACAAGTTAGTTAACTTAAACGGGGGTATCCTCAAGGCAGTAAACTGGAGCCAGGTGGGTTAAATCCTTCTTGCTGCTATTAAGGGGAGGAGGAGACAGGTTTCTGCAGACTATACATTTTGGAGAGAAACAAAAAAGAATGTCCCCACGTTTCCTTTGCCCTGCCATGCTGGAGCAGATGGGCAAGGTCCCAAGACAAGCACAGTGGGGACAGATGCCTTTAGCTGAACTGTTAAATCCTTCGGTGTGCGTAAGACTTTTTTTATTTATTATTATTATTTTTTAATGAGACAGTGTCTCGCTATGTTGCCAGGCTGGTTTTGAACTCCTGGGCTCAAGCGATCCGCCCACCTCAGCTTTCCTTTCCAAAGTGCTGGGATTACAGGCGTGAGCCACAGCACCCGGCCTGTAGCCTTTAATAATGGATTTTAAATGTGCGTAACGTTTTTAAATGTGCTTATTCTTTATTAGAATTAGGGTGATGGCCGGGCGCGGTGGCTCACGCCTGTAATCCCAACACTTTGGGAGGCCGAGGCGGGTGGATCACGAGGTCGAGAGATCGAGACCATCCTGGTCAACATAGTGAAACCCCGTCTCTACTAAAAATACAAAAAAAAAAATCAGCTGGGCATGGTGGCGAATGCCTGTAATCCCAGCTACTAAGGAGGCTGAGGCAGGAGAATTGCCTGAACCCAGGAGGCGGAGGTTGCGGTGAGCCGAGATCGCGCCATTGCACTCCAGCCTGGGCAACAAGAGCGAAACTCCGTCTCCAAAAAAAAGAATTAGGGTGAAATAGATACTTGGCTGATTTTCCTTTCTATCTATATTTCTATTATAACTGGAAGGACTTGCTCCCCCGTTGTACATTCCCTCATGATAAGCAAGATTTTCAGGGTTTGTGTTTCAATATTCATGATTAATACTTCTCTGTTCTCCTTCACTTCCTATGCTACTTTTTCCTAAAATTTCTGGACTTTTTATCAGTTCTGTAGAGGTGGACAGAAAGGCTCAGGGCAGTAGGAAGGAAACTCCTCCAAACCTCAGTCTTCATACACCATGGTCCCGGTGTGCAGGCAACCTCCGAAGGGGACCCTCCAGACTCCATGGAGTGTCCCAGTGTGGGGGTGGGGGAGGCAAACGAGAGGGGGCTGGGGGCGGTGGGGGGCAGGTCCCCACGCACTGCCATATCCTCCAGCCCGCTCACCAAACGTGCGCGCCGCAGGGAAGGAGCCCACTCGATGGAGCGCGCCTCTCTGAGGCCTTGTCTAGAAGGGGCCACCCGCTTATGAAAGTAAGGGATGTGGCAGTCACGTGCCACAAGCCCCAGTGGCCTAATGGATAAGGCACTGGCCTCCTAAGCCAGGGATTGTGGGTTCGAGTCCCACCTGGGGTAATGCTAACTAACATTTTCTTTTGAGACGGAGTCTCGCTCTGTTGCCCAGGCTGGAGTACAGCGAGCATATATCTCGAATCACTGCAACCTCCGCCTCCCGAGTTCAAGCGATTCTTCTGCCTCAGCCTCCGGAGTAGCTGGGATTACAGGCGCACGCCACCCTGTCCGGCTAATTTTTGTATTTTTCGTAGAGACGAGGTTTCACCATATTGGCCAGGCTGGTCTCAAACTCCTGACCTCAGGTGATCCGCCCGCCTCAGCCTCCCAAAGTGT